AATATTTTTTTTTTCCTACTGAGCAGTCTTTGAGTCATAGAAATCAGAGACAGACTAGACCATTAGGGCTCACTGAGCTCACCCACAACTGTAGCAAGATTGTTCCTTGCAGAACTGAGCGCTTTGTCCAAACCAACTCTAAACTCCTGCCCAGGCTTCCACCATCCCTGTGTGGGACTATACTGGAGTCTGCTTGACCTTATTATTAGGGAACGTTGCTAGCCAGACATTTTCCTTTTCTTTTATTACATGAGCTGTTGCTTCTCACATGCAGAACCACCCTAATCCTTGCTCTTATTAACGCTGACACTCGATCATTTCCGCCCCCCTGCCGCAGCCTGTACGTATTTAGTCCTTTTAACCTTTCCTTATAGATCAATCCTTCCCAGTGCTATGAACAAATAGAAGATTTCTATTCTCACCAACAAGGGTCTTTTAACAGCTGCAAGAACAAAACAGCGACCCTGCTGAAAAATCCCAAACATTTGATGCATGTTTAAATCTACAGCTCCAGCTGGTTTCTTCTTTTTAAAGTAAGAGTTTTATCAAGTCTGGAATCTGGTGAGAAAATTAATGGAAAGCATAAGCATTAGTGGATCTCTGTCTGAGGGGACTTCCAACTCACCACAGAAGCAAACCACATACAAAGTAGCAGCAGGGTACTTCAGTTGGGAACATCTAAAGAATCTATATGAGCTACAAGAGCAACATCTTTCCCTTCATTTTGATCTGACTTTACAGATAATTTAGAGCGTGCAATTCACCTGGTGGTCCTCTAAGTTTCAAAGCAGGGTGAAAGACTGGGAGGTGTCTACACATTCTGTGCATCAGAAAGGGGAGACTTTATGGGAGCTCTCAATATACCTGCACAGAGGAGAAGCACCGAGGGACTGGATACTGACATTGTGCTTAAGCAAACCGAGTGGCTAGGAACTTCCTCGTAGTGGGGATGGAGGGAGGGGGCAGATTATTTCATCGTTCCTCCTAATGACAGCCACTTATGTTACACTCATAAGGAGCACTAGAAAGTCCATGTAAAAGGAAAAAAATATTGCAACATGTACTGAAAAGGGATAAGAGATAAGTAAATACAAGATTCTGTTGCTATCTACAAAAATGTAAACACCTTGGTAACTGCTATTAGTTGATACCCATCTATAAAAGTGAAATAGTGGTTCTTTTGGGCTCTGGTCATGTAACGCAATCAAAGTAAATATAAAACTCACCACAACAGACAAAACAGGATAGGGTCTACAATGAGAGTGGATTGTACACTTTGAACTTTAATAAATTAAAGTGCTTTGCACGTGAAAATGAAGCCAGGTTCTCTATCCTTCAGTTTCATTTTCTTTGGCTCTTAGCTTCATGGGGTATGTCTACACTACGGGATTAATCCGAATTTAGATAATTCGAATTTGGGAAACAGGTTGTATAAATTCGATTGTGCGCGGCCACACTAAGCACATTAATTCGGTTTTTAACCACATTAATTCGGTGGTATGCGGCCACACTACCCCATTAATTTTAACCACATTAATTCGGTGGTGTGTGGCCACACTAACCCTAATTCGAATTAACAAAATCGATTTTGGCGCTACTCCGCTCGTCGAGGTGGAGTACAGAAATCGATTTAAAGTGCCCTTTAATTCGAACTAAATGGCTCTGTTGTGTGGACGGGTGAAGGGTTAATTCGAATTAACGCTGCTAAATCCGAATTAATCCCGTAGTGTAGACCAGGCCATGGATTCCTAAGGCTATCCCATCCTATCTGAAGCATGTCTCCAAAACAGGCAGCAATCGCCCCAATCCACAGAAAACATATCTCCAACATAAATTTGTTGCTGATGAGTGATTCTTCAGTGTGTCCCCAATAAATCAAAGACCTTCCAGGACAACCAATGTAGACATAGTCTTCTTTTTTTTTTTACTATCATCAGAGCTTCACAAAAAAATAGGTTTCCTCTTTTTAAATTAAACTGAAGGCAACACAGAAAACTTTTCAGGACTTGGAAAATAACTTCATGAAGTGAGAGGGAAGGTTGAGAGCACAAATCATTACTGTAAGGGTTAAAAACCTTACAAGAATGTTGCAGTTATTAAAAAACAAAAACAACAACTACCAAAAAAAACAACCCCCAAACCCAACCACTCTGAATTCAGGAAATTCAGAATTTAAATTAAATTCAGAGGTTAAATTTCAAAGAAACCCAAATGTTATGAACATCTAGAAACGCACAGCAAGGTCATCCAAACAACCTTAACTCTGCCCCATGTTGTGATGCCCTGAGTAAACCAAGAAACTTTGAAATAACATTTTCCATCCATAACAAACAGGTTTATCACATGAAGGACCACAAAAACCAGACACTGGAGACAATGGAGAAAATCTTTCTATATTACAAAGGAGCTCTTCGTTTTTCTTCTGCCAGATGCTCTCATGCTTTATCGTAGGCTCAACACAAAACAAAGTAATGTTTGACTGACTATTTTGGGAGATGTAATGGAGAATTAAGCATTCTTGTGGCATTAAGTTATCATCAGTTTGGGGAAATTTTCCAATAAGGGACATTTTTTACCATTTAAAGCAGTCTGTTACTGTGTTTGGAAACTTCTGCTGGGGAGTATGCCCAAATAATATAACCTGACTCAGAACAGTTATTTGCAGTGTTGTTGTAGCCATATTAAAGAGACAGGGTGGGTGAGGTAATATCTTTTATTGGACCAACTTCTGTAGGTGAGAGACAAGCTTTTGAACTACACAGAGCTCTTCTGAAGGAAAAGGAAAAACAGAGTTCCTTTGTAATATAGAAAGGTTTTCTACATTGTCTCCAGTATCTGATTTTTGTGGTCCTTTATGTGATAAACCTGTTTGTTATAGATAGAAAATGTTATGGCAAAGTTTCTGGGTTTATTTTTCTGAAGAGCTCAGTGTGGCTTGAAAGCTTGTCTCTATCACCAACAAAATTTGGTCTCAGAACATAGTAAGCTGATTATCTTTACCGGTTGCGAAGTCAATAATGATGCTCTAATTTGGATACTGCTATTCAAAGAAGGTAAGAAAAGAAAAGAATGGAATTGTTCTCTGTTAAAAGAATATTTGCAGTTCTCTAGCCTAAAAGATATTCACGGCGACACAGAGTGAATACACTTCTCTTTATATAGTGCAATAACTCCTGACAGGTACCTTTGCTTTCAAAGCTCCTTTTCCGTCTCGAGATGTGGTATTCTCTCCCTACTAAATTTACACTATAAAGTGCTGTGTCTTGTTACTGTTTCCATTTCCATCCCATTAAATATTATTTTTTTAAATCTGCTACTTCAATCTTGTTAAAAGTTTTCTTGTGAAAACATAAGGAACTAAAGTAAAAAAGCAACAACAGCTCCACAGTCCAGAGTGCCCAGATCTTTACAGCTCTGGCATTCAAACAAATCGCTTAGGTGTGCACTAAAATTCTGCATAGCTCCTATGTGGAATAATAACAGAAATCTGGGTGGCTACAGAGGCAGCCTCACATACAATAGGGAGTCTGCTCAACACACTATATGATCTTTCTCATCAACTTTATGCCACATGAGAAAAAGAAACACTTTCCACCTGGATAACTACATATATAAAGCCTGACTAGCCCCATTTATGCAGGTGTAAATCAAAAGGAAGTCTATTGAAATTAATGGCGTTATAGTGGTGTTAAAATTGTATAAGTGAAAGGAGAAACAGGCCCATACTGTCTGCAAAGATTTTTCTGTCCTGGCCAACTGCCTGTTTGCCTGTTGTTAAAGCCAACCCTGTATGTGGTGTTTCAGTCACTCTTCATACAATCACAGCTTTGTAAAAATATGACAATTTAATTGACTACCAGACTATCTCTATCCTAAGGAAACCTAGGGCCCATTTCTGCTCTGAGATGCCAGTGCTGAAACTCAATGACAGTCTCAAGTGCATATCTAAAGGAAGAATGTGGATATTGGGTCTCGCTGAGGTTTTGCCATTGTTCTTGAAGACCAGATGGGTCTCTGCTGGATCTCAAATTTCCTAAACTCTGAAGTGGTCAGATTGGTGAGACACCTCAGGCTAAATTCAGAGGTAATGTGTACAGTGATGTAATTTACACGTCAATAAGTGTGTGTCAGAGGGGCGGGGGACTACAGGCCAAATTATGGTCTTGATTTCAGTCAAGAAAAGCCAAAGATACCTAGCAGTATCTACACTGAATTTTTCACAGCCCTGAGTGACGTAGCTAGGACAACCTAAATGTTAGGTGCAAACCAGGCCCAAGTTACATCAGCGTAGATTCATACCACTTCTCCTACCACCCAACTCTGAATTTGGCCTCACCACTCATCCACTGCCCTGATCAATCCCATTTATTTATTTTGCTAATTTGTATTGCAGCTATCACAGAGGCAGCTGTATGCAATGATAAAAACAAAACAAAGGCTTAAAGGGGCAGGAGAATGGCAAGCTGTGAGTGCTGGAAAAGGCAGGAGGGGACCGCCGCAGGACAAGGAAACAAATCATTTACAATATTGTTGGGCTGTCCCAGTTCCTGGGGATTGCTATCACCCTTTGTCTGTTTGTGTCCTGAGGGAAGGCCTTCAGGTTCCGTGAGAGTGTGAAAGACACACTGCCATTTCAGCATCAACGTGGGGTGATTCAGGATAGCAGCTATGGTGACCCTAGGAGGGAGGGGCAAAAATCCCCACCACAACCAGAGACAAGGCGCAACAGTGACAATCCCATAAGGAGAGGATAAAAATAGTGTAAATGGTGGCTCCATAAGGACAAGGCTGAGAAAACCCAAGGAACCGGTGTGGCCATTTGATAGATAGGCTAGATTAGACAGGCAGTACTACATGATGCATTAATCAATCCTTTCCCTTTTACGCTGGTATATAATTAATTTATTTTTTTTCTTCCTGCTGAACAGTTTTAACTCCATTCACCTTGCTACGGCCCTGATCTGCTATACGTCACATGCTGTTTCTTTTATAATACTCACCATGGTCATGAGCAAATACAAACAAGTTAAGTCCTGTCAGCATCTGGGCTAAGTCATCATAGCGGCCGCAGTGTTCCCCAGCACCATGAGCGATAAACACGAGGGCCCTAAATGGAGCATCAAGGTATAAAGCATTAACTTGGAAATCAGCCTAGAAAGGCACCAGAGCTGTGGGTATAAACAGCATCATCATTTTATCAACAAGCACCTCAGACGTCAACAAATTCAAGCCAGGTAAATGTGGGGCCCGAGTGGCATTTAGCTGATGGTACCATGGTGAGGAAGGGAGCAGATTGTCCATAAAGACCTAGGAGCGTATGAGAAGAAATAACATCAAACGAACCTCTAACAGATGGCTTGATGGTGGCAGGCCTTTAGCTAGATGTGAGCCAGTTGCACACTGGATGGATGTACTGTACTTTTCCACCTGGCTCAGCACGAGGCTGCCACAATGGGAAGCTACAGGTCAATATTGTAGGTGGGTCTCTGTGACTCTCTTTTATCAGGCTAATTACATTCTGGACTGGACTTTGCTCCTATGGAAATCAATGGAAGTGTTGCGATTGACTTCAGTGGGATCAAGGTTAGGACCTCTCTCTGTAGTTTCACCCAGATATATTATTATTCACTTTCTGACTTAAATTGTTCTGACTTACATTGCCGCACACACTGTTAAATGGTTACTGGATTTCAACAAAAATATGGATGCAAACCGGAACCCAGGACCTGAGTCGAAGTTTGGGGAATGCTGGACTTGATCCCAACATCAATGTTTTTACCTATTTCCAATTTCAACCCAGAAATAGCTGCATTACAGAGATGAGTGAAGTGATTCCTAAACAGTTACAGCAACCTTAGGCTCACAGAGTGTAAACCACTCTAGGATCCTGCTGCGTGAAAGGCGCTATACAAATGCTCATCACTAAGTACTCACATTTTACAAAATTTCTTACACGTTCAGAGGAATATCATCAAATAATGAAATTAATGGTTTGAGTTCAGAGAAATTTTCCTGTGTCTTTACTGGACAACATTTACGAAGAATGTTGATTTTGTTGTAAAAATAATTATGGCCGAGTGAAACTCTAGAAGTTTGCTCTGATTGATAGGTCTTTTTTCACCCCTATTAAATTTTAGTGTCACAAATCTGAGTTGTTCATTTAAAGGTGCAATCTGTTGTCAGAACACTTGTAACCAGACCAGAGACTGATACTTCTAGTTTTTCAGTATATATAAAAAATCCCAAGATGAACTAATAATAAATGGTAACAACAATTTACATTTAGTGAAATCTTCAACTCTATTTTTACAAGGGTTTTTGATACATCTGTAAAAGATGTAATCACACAAAGAAACTGCTTTGATCTTAGTTATATTTAAACTTAGAGAAGATGCTAGATGCTGTAGTAATTACTGCCCCATCTCTTTGATTAACACTGATTGCAAAATAATTGCTAATGCTACGCAACTTGACAGACCATCCATTTGAACTAGACAGGCTTCACGAAGCAAAGAGTAGATTCTCTAACAGCTATATAAGGTTACCCTGACATTTCATTAACGCTAATCAGTAATGACAAGTCCAGGAAATGTAGCATCCCTAGCCCATGGTGTTAGAGAGCATTTGATAGGCCACACTAGGGGTTCCAAAATGACCTGTCATACAGTAGTAATGCCTTGAGTTAACATTTCCCTTAGAAAAGGCTAAGAGATCTTAAGCCTTCAGAACAAGGGGTGTAGGGCGGGGGAGAATTCTGAAGCAAACTCAAGATGACTAATGCATATGCTTCAGATCCTGCTTGCTTTGCTTGTCTACAAGTCGAACACCAAACCAAAGTAAAGGAATAAAAAGGAGAATTTTTTGCCTGTCTATATCAGGCATTTCCAAGGTGTCCCTCACCATGGTCTCCAGGCACAACATGTAGTTTCTCAGATGACAAGTCATTTAAAATAACATACCAGGTGACCTTCATGGTATGAAATCCCTCGTGAAGTGAGCAAGCTGATAAAGTGAGAGCCTTGTAGGAAGACATTAATTGCTACTTTATCTTGCAATTACACTGGAGGCTAAATTTTGCTCTCATTCATACCCATGCAGCCTCACTGACTTAGAACCAGATCAGCTAAGGTGCTGAGCACCTTACTGAAATTCGTGGAAATAGAGGGAGTTCAATGCTTCACAAAATTAAGGCTATAGGGCCTGATCCTGCAGCCTTTACTCACAAGTAATTCTTAGTCCCAGATGACTGCAACGGAACTAGGATATAGGAGTTCCAGAATTGGATCCTTAAATGTCATGTGGCAGGGACCTTGTCTTTTATTTGCCTGCAAAGCATCATGGATAAAATTCTCAAATGCATCTGAGGGTATAAACACCCATGGCTAGCCTGTGTCAGCTGACTCAGGCTCAGGGGGGGTTGTGGTTTTGGGGCTATAGAACTGCGGTGTAGATGTTCGGATGCAGGCTGGAGTCCGGGCTCTGGAATCACCTCCTATCATAATGCTTGTGAAAAGGAAGAAATACAATACAGCAAATAGGAAACGGTTTTCAATTTTTATCTTAATGTTCCTTTTTTGGTGTCATTTAAAGTTAATACAGATACACTGCAGGCTTTAGCACTTTGTAGGACTGCAGTGTCTATGGACCTGGCAAGCAACAACTGCAGGGTTGGCCTCATAGGAAATTGGTCTTAGCATGTACCTTCATCTCCAATTGTTGTCATTCTGCCCACAAGACCATTTGGAAGTGACATGGCTCGGGTAGAAGCCAGTGCTCACAGCTTGAAATGCTTTTCTGAAGACTCAGTTATGCCTGAACCATGTTAATTTCATAGGCTCCATCAGCTCAGCCAGAGGAATGTTTCTGGCGCTTTGGATGCTTCAAATGACTCTGGATGTGGGATCTGTAGTTGCTAAACTTTGTGATTAAACAACATTTTGGACTCAGTTCAGCAAGATACCTAAACTAATGCCAAACTGTAAACACGGATGTAGTCCCAACAAAATCAATGAGACTACACATGTGCTTAAGTACCTTGATGAATCAGGGTCATTATGGATGGTGGTGGTAAGATTGTGCCATTACTCAGAGAAAGCTGGTGCATGTTTGGTCAAGAATTTTTTAAAATGTATAAATTAATGTTTATTTGGCATATTTTTGTAGCCATCACAGCAAAAGTAGGTCTCAGCTCTCAACGCTTTGAACACTTGTATACTTACCATTATAATTACACATCCTGTAAAATGTTATTTCTTACTCTTAGCCAGCAATTTAAATTATGCTGGTCTCAAGTCTAGGACACTATGATCCCTGTGCCAGAGGAGAGCAGTTTGCAGGGAATGTATTCAGTCCTGGATCAGTGCCAAGAAAACACTGCTATACTGAGAGACTGGCACTGTTTTAAGGGCTGGTGTCTTGTGATCCCTACCCTCTACCAAGGCTAGAAATAAATGTTTCATACCATTAGAAAATTGGGATTCAAGTCCAGCTGGGCCATGAGATATACTGTCTTGTATTATTTTATTTATCACGATAGAGACCACTACAAGTATGAACTAGATGGGGTGGGGGGAGGGGGGAAGCAAGACTGTAAGCAGAATGATGTGATTGTAAGATCTGTTATCTTGTGACCAGACAGGGCTAAAGGCCTTTTAGTGGGACCGGCACGCATTCTTTTAGGACCAGAAAATGTCCAAGCCCTGAAACTAGACCAGTGATCTGAAGAAAAAATTCACCCCCTATTTATACTATCAGAAAAAACACAAGCCAAGACCCCAATTCAGGAAAGTATTCCTACTCAGGGCAGTACTTAACTACATGCTTATCTTTAGCAACCTGCCTAAGCCCCATTCAAGTTAGTAGGACTTATTAAGCACATGATTAAAGTTAAGCACATAGTTAAATGCTGTCCTGAATAATGATGGTCTGCAGCATATGCATAAATGCTTTCCTGAATCAGAGCCCATCTGACTTGAGCTTATGGCATGTTAATCCATGCTAGACAAGTCTATCTTTTATATATATATCAGATACATTTTCACCATAACCAAAATGACTTTAAAACAGTTTAACTGACATTTGCAGTTTGAAAACTTTGAAATTAAATCCCCTAATGAGATACAAAATCAACTAACAGAAACCAGAGAGTTATCTGGTATGCTGGAAAATTACTGAAAGGAAGTACTAGATTTAATTTTACTGCTTTAGCTGATTTATTAACCCTTTCATAGTTGGCATCAGCCTGCCTCTTAGAAGTGGAAAGAACAGTTAAAACTCATGTATATTAAACCTTACAGTAATGGCATTTTCTTGACTACCCAAGAAGTAAATAGTTAGTTGGACACATATGTATATCTGCAGTGTGCAAAGAGTTAACTTATTTAAACAGACTATTAGATTTTTCTATATTTTCTACTATTATATTATTAAAATCACTTATAGCACCATAAATTTGCATGTTACTTTACAGACATATGGTAAGACACATTCCATGCCCTACTATAGATGAGGCTGGTTGCATTGCCTATTATTAAGGTTGCTTAACACTTCCCATTGTAAGACCCTGTTTTCAGCTGAAATTTTCCATGCTGGCTGTCAACTGCAGGCTGAATTATTGTTTTGAAACTTGTTTCCAAGAACAAGGCTAATGAAAAATACATTGATTTGCCCATGTTAAAAAATTCTGAACACCTATCCTTTGGAGAAAGCTTTTGAAATTGGACCAGGGGGTGGCCTTTGTGTCCGGGATTTGCCTTTTACTTGTCAAGAATGGGACTGGTATGAGAAGCTTGAGGAGTGGAGCCTAGGACTGGTTAGGTTAGGAGAATGGGACTGGGATGAGAAGCCAAGGGTGGGGAAGAGAAGACAGGGACAGGTTGGAGGGTAGAGGGCAGAAGGAGTAATATCTGGGGGAGGAATGAGCAGAAGAGTCAGTTCCACCTAGCGAACACTCCCCTCCAGAGCCAGGAATGGAACCCAAGATTCCTGAGTCTCATCATTCCTCTGCTATCAGCAAATATCGGTGAAGTCCACTGGCAAAGTGTCCCATTCCCCCTCTAAGGGAATCCACACAGAGAATAACAACCTACCACTATCAGTAGCTCAAGC